ATTTTTAAAGATTTTATTTATTTATGTGAGATAGAGAGACAGCATGAGAGGGGAGACGGTCAGAGGGAGAAGCAGGCTCCCCCCTGAGCCAGGAGCCCAATGCAGGACTCGATCTCAGGACTTCGGAATCATGACCTGAGCTGAAGGCAGTCGCTTAACCAACTGAGCCACCCAGGCGCCCCTGACTAAATTATTAATATTAAATACATAAAACATAACCCAGGAGGTGTATGCTCTTTGTGGTTTTGCCACTGGATTTTGCAGACTGTCTAGGGCCATTACTTGACTACTTTGTTCCAGATAAATTCATCTACAGGGTAAAGTGAATCTCGTCCTTAGAAGGTGTAAAAGATGTTGAAGAACTCTTACGTGCTCCTTAAAAAACATTTGTTAAAACAATCCCAATGAACCCAGGCCTACAACCCAGTTTAGGGCATTTTTTTGCGCTGGGACTTCTATCAGTGATGGGTATTGTTACTTCCTTTCCCATCAGTTTCCTATCCCCAAACTTCTTCTATGTTTAGCACAGTAGGGGGTGGGGAGAAATCTTGCTCTTTTAAAAGGTATTGATATTTTGGGGGGATAATTCTTTCCTTTGATAATAATGTTTTCCCTTTTCTAAAATAAGTAAGCTTTATATTTTAAAATATATTTATTGCTAACCTGTAAGGAACTTGTCTCCATTCTAAAGCCTTTTTCCAGATATCAAGCTGTGAGTGTAATGATCTCTGTGGTTTTTTTTTTTTTTTTAACTTCTTATTGTTAGATATTTCCTTCTTGAAATAGTGCTCTCTCATACATAATTTTAGGATAAAATACCCTAGTAGAGTCTTGACCTTTTAATGTAGTGTTTTTATGAAATACAGCTAAAGGCCATGTAGGAATGTATGTAGTAAAAAATTTAATCTTATACATTTTTATTTAAAAATATTTTTTATTTGCTCTTTGTCTTGACATAGTTTCAGATTTATAGAGACCTTGTAAGTATAGTACAAAGAATTCCCGTGTACCCTATAGTTAGATTCTCTAGATTTTTATATTATACCACATTGGTTTTATACCTCCCCATTCCATGTGCATGTGTGTATAATGTATGTATATGCACATATATGCATTTTCTTTGTTTTTTTCTGAACTGTGTTTTGAAGAGTAAGTTGCAGACATGTTGCTCCTTTTCCCTTAAATACTTCATTGTATGTCTCCTAAAGTAAGGACGTTCTCTTATATAACCACAGTCAATCATCAAAATCGTACAATTAGCATTGATGTAATGCTATTATCTAATCTACCTATTCAAATTGCTGATTTTCCCAGTAATTTCCTTTATATCAAAAGAAAATCCCAGATGATGCATTGCCTTCAACTATCAAGTCTCTTTAATCTCCTTCAATCTGGAACAATCTCCAGTGTGTCTTTGTCGTGACCTTGACATTTTGAAGAGCGCAGATCAGTGATTTTGTCGAATGTCTCCCAATTTGATTTTGCATCTATATTTTTAAAAGTATAAAGTATTCACTGTGGAGGAGTTGGAAAATTCTTGTTGCTCTAGAAACCCATAACTTCAAAGTTTGTTGACGTAAGTGAGCTCAAATATGTGAAACACCAAAGGGATTTCATCTCCGAATTTATACATAGGCCTCCTGAGCCATTTGCACATATGATCATTCTGCAGATTCTGTATGTTTTGTTCTTAAATAAAAATAACAAATGGCCAAAGTTATTCAAAACATTTATAACTCATTTTTAAGGGAAAAGTTCTAAGTTCTTGGTTATAGTGAGTGTTGCTATACAGTTTTGTTTCCCCATTTGGGTTATTTGTCTCACTTTGTCTTAAGTAACAGATACGAGCGAAAAGTTGCCTGTGAAAGGTTCAGGAGAGATTTAACAGAGAACTGAACGTTTACTGAAGAGGTCCGAAAAGATGTGCCATCAGCTAAAGGCCTTTTTTGAGAGACAGCTAGCCCATTGCTCTCTAGGGATTCTTTGTCTCTTTATTTCAAGACTTCTCTTCTTCCATCACGTCTTCGTTTTTTCCTAAATCCATAACATTCAGGCCTGTTCCATACACATGGCTTTCCACATACAACATTGCAGGATTTTTTCCATCATCAAATGAGGTTTTTGGAATCTTGAGATCCCTCAGAAGTGCAGTGAGGGCTTGAGAAATCAACCTTCTTTCTCTTTTGCTGCAATAAATAAACGGAAGCATGAAAACTATCTCAGCAATCATGTCTCTTTTTGAACAAAGATTTTTTATTGTCGTCTTGAGGAGGGGCTGCTCGGGTAACACAAAGCTTGTTATTGTCGAAATATATGAGCATAAAGATTTTTCCCACTGAGATTAGAAATTACCTCTCAGGATATAAGAAAGTGAGCCTTCTTCCTTCTCTTCCTCCTTTTCTTCCCCTTCCCTCCCCTTCTTTCCTCCCTCCCTCCTTCCCTCCCTCTCTTCCTTCCTCCCATTTTTTTAGATAAAAAGAAATTATGATAAATAAATTTTAAAAAGTGTAAATAGCAAGTGATGGTCAAGCAGCAGATGGCCCTTGACTTTGGTAGGACCAGCCGCCAGACCTAAGCGGCATTTTTGTGCTGGACCTTCTGCAGGTCTTGTGCCTCTTTGAGTGTCAGTTCCCTCATTCCAAAGATTTTCCCTCTAACAGCAAACAGGGTAAGAATTATTGAATAACTGTCTTGGAAAAACAATTGTAGCTCTCTTCGCCATTAAAAAATGTGACTGAACTTAAAATGCTGTGTTTCTGATTAAAAAAAATAACACTAACATTGTACACACCTTTCTTTTGGATTTATTCTTCTTTGCAAGTGAAGCGATTAACATCAGAATTTTTTTTAATTGGGCTCAAACACTGCTGTGCTTTTCTCCCAGAAAAATCAATGCAAAACAAAACAAAGCAAAACCAAACTCCCCATCCCCCAAACCCCACAACTGAACCTTTACCACTCCTTTGTTCTCCTGTTAATTGCTACCACCTGCTTTCAGGAGATGTCTGAATTATTTTGGTTTTTGGTGGTCTGAATATTTACCTGATTTTGAGCAACAGGAGGTGAGTTTGCCCCGTATTTTTTCCTCGCCACCTAATGCCATCCAAAATTTTCTTGCTGAATCAACTTTTTGTGCTCTCAACTTTTCTTTTCAATCCTCTCACCTCTGTTGCTGATCTGTCAGGCCCAGGGATTCAGCTTTGTTGCACCAATGCACACTTCAAAGATGTTTTAGAATTCACACTTCAAAATTAAAATATACATTTTCTTTTCAGTGACTGAGCCATGAAACAGAATCACATGGGATAAGAAAGTGGTAGAGTAGAACAGAAAAAACTACAACATAGAAGCAAGTGCTTCCCAGGGAATTAACTTTCTCAAACATGTGTTTCCCAGAGCTCAGAAAACACTAATTTCTGTGTTGTTGGTATTGTTTCTTTGTTCTACTCTGCCACTTCCTGATCCCACATGATTCCGTTTCATGCCTCAGTCACCAAGTAAAAAAATGTATATTTTAGGTTAGATTTTTAACTTCAAGCACAGTTTTGAAGTGAGCCCCCCAGTCCTGGAAGCTGGGGTAGGAGCTGAAAGCTGGGTGAGCGAATCTGGACTCCTCACAGGCAAAAACACAGGAGTAACTACATCGCCTGGGGACAGACACTGTGGCTCCTTCCCCACGCCATAGATCACTTAACTCGAGTCCTGTAGGGACCAATGGAACGTCGGCGCTGAGTTGTCAGATGTCTAACACGGGAAGGTTCTGTACTGCAGAACACTGCAGAATTGGAAGGCTGTTGTACTGGGGATGATGTGTGCCCTGCTGTGCTGATGGGTGGCCGATTTCAAAATGATTCCATATGGCCCCTGCCTGTTAGAGGGTTTTCCCTTTTCGCCCTCACCCTGAAGGTGATGATTCTCATACACTCCCCCTTCTGAGAGGAGTTTGCCGACATCCTGAGCACTCGTGGCACACAGGTTGTTTAAAAGGATGGGTGGGGAAGGAAGACAGGCAAAATTCTAGTGACTCAAGAGGCCCCTCCAGCCCAGAGAACTCTCCGTGGACACAGGAACGAGAGGGTGGGCTCAGCACCCTTGGATCCAATAGTTTTCTTCTCTAATGCTCCCCCCTGGGTGTGGTCGCTCTTCTCCCGTTCCTGGCTGAGAAAGGAACATTTTTTTCTTTCTAAGAACAGAAAAAGGCCACTTTGCAAATAGGCATTTGAGTCTTTCTCCTTGGATTTGGGTTAGTAGAGGTTCGTTTTTCCCTGAAATAGTTCAGTGCTTGATGCTTTTCCTACGGGTTCTATTAAAGAAAAAAAATATTCAGTGACACTTGTAAAAGATGGCGAGGCAGACTCTATTCAGGATCATCCTCATAGCTGTAGGTCCCCTGCACTGGCATTTTGCTGTGGGGGAGAAAATTGGTCTCAACTTTAATACAGCATGGGTAAGTGGGAATTGCTTGTGGCCAAGGAGCAGGCCGGGGTGGTGGTGGTGGTGGGGCAGTGAATGGGAAGTTACTGAGAGGAAACTTCAGGGCTAAGGGGAGGTCTGGCTAACCTGACCTAGCAGGGTGTTTGCTGAAGACCGGGTGATCAGCCATTACCTGGGGGGTGGGGCGTGGAGGGTGGGAACTCAGATGTCAAGATGATCAGATATTGAGAGTTGGGGGGGCAGTTCTTATGAGACTGACTTAGCAGGTTTCTTGCTTAACCTAGATTGCACAAGAAGGAGCACAGATGGACCCAGGAGAAGGTTCAAGAACCTGACTGAAGTTGGGTCAAGCAAAGAATCTTTGTTGGTTCCTAGTGAGAGACTTTTTTACTGTGAGCTGAAGAGGCTCTCAGTAAGTACCAAGGTGGAAGAATTCAGTGGGCCTGGGGTGGGAATGGGGAGGAGCAGGGAACCAAAGAAAAGAAGATTTCAGAACACTTTCCTTCTACAAGTTCTAGAACAGCAGTGAGCACACAATCCCTCCTTATCCCGACTTACCACCAGCACAGGTCTTGAATTACAAAAGTTCAACTCGAACAACTCTTAAGAATCGAATTTGAAGTATGGTGGACTCCATTGAAAGTGTGAAGACCTGACCCAGGCCATCCGGGAGCCTGACAGAGCCTGGATGTCACCCTTGGAATTTTTAATCGTGCTTAAAACTTGATCAGATAGTTTGACAAATGCTGCGTAGGCCCCTAGAAAGTGGTAAGCCCTCTGCTGGCTCTGAGGATTATAAAGAAAGGTAAAGACCTCTGCCTTCGTGGAGTGTAGGGTCAAACACGAGAACTACATACGTGAACTGACAGAGGCAACCATGGAGTCTGTACGCAGTGAAGGCAAAAGTGCAGGGCTGGGAGTGATTTGTTTTCAGAGAGAGAGAGGGAATTGTCAGGGAAATGTTTCCAGAAGTGATAATGCCTGACCCGGGTTTTGAAGGACGAACAGGATTTTGATAGATGAACAAGAGAGAGGCAGGTCCATCCAGGGGGAAGGAGCACATACAAATATACAGTTTCCTATCCTGCACTCCTCTGCAGGCTGTACTTTGGATCTTTGAGAGCCAGAGTGCTTTAGGGAATGGAGTTTAAAGCCCTCTGGAGCTTTTAGCATTTGATTTGTGGATTTAGGGGAGCCTGGGGATTCAGGGTAAGAAGCAGGTTCTGAATCCTCCAGGAAACTCTTGGGAAACCAAGTTTGGAAAGTGGTTGCTAGACTCCTGTTTTACTCTGGAAGGTTTGCTTTTGGTGTCCAAAGTCCTTGTTCTTTGAATAGCATTGGGTGCTGAGAACTATTGCTCCTTTCTTAGGGATGTGAAGCTCAGTGGCCCCTGGGCAGGTGTATAGTGATCAGGGTTGGACCAAACCTGAGATGTCAGAGGGACAAACCAGCATCCATCTGGGCTACGAGAGGAATCCATGCTCTTGGAATGTTTGGAGGGAGAATGAGGAAGTATCAGTCTCTCACATCTGGCACTGTGGAAATGTACTCGGTCCATTTGGGAAGGCTGTCCAGGTGCTGCCAGTGGCCTTCTGTGGAGTTCAGGGCACTCAGAGTTCAGGATGAGCCAGCTGAGAATGAGAGAATTCTTTGTGATCCTGTAGAGCAGTACTTGGTGGACTGGTTTGTCTTACCTTGGTCAAATGGTCAGCAAGTGTTGACTGAGATTTCAGAGAACAACTCACAGTCCTGTTGCAAAGTTCCAGGTCACACAGAAGTGTATCTGTGCAAAGTGACAGCTCAGCTAAGTAGGAAGTTGAACTTAGGATGTTCAATTTTACAAGAGTCTCTAGCAGTGGACCTTCATTTCTTTTAAAAATAGATTTCTGTAGTTAGCAGCCACATTAAATTAGGTAGTTCTACCCAGACCATAACATGGTTCAATGCTTTGGTGTTTTATTGAGCATTGATTTAAAATATTTGTAAATCTGCTCTTGAAAATATCCTCCAATTGTTCAGTGTCCCTTTGATAAAGCTCTACACAATAAATACTTCTTAAAATTTGAAAAGATATTTTTTAAATGGGCAGAAGATCTGAATAGACATTTTTCTGAAGACATACAGATGGCCAACAGGTACATGAAAAGCTGCTCAACATCATTAGTTATCAGGGAAATGCAAGTCAAAACCAAAATGAGATCTCATCTCATGCCAATTAGAATGCTGTTATCAAAAAGACAAGAAATAACAAGTGCTGGCAAGGATGTGGAGAAAAGGGAACCCTCATGCACTGCTGGTGGGAATGTAAATTGGTGCAGCTACTATGGAAAATAGCATGGAGGTTCCTCAAAAAATTAAAAACAGAATTACCATATGATTTAGGGATTCTACTTCTAGGTATTTATCTGAAGAAAACAAAAACACTAATTCAAAAAGATATATGCACCCCTATGTTCATTGCAACATTATTTACAATAGGGAAGATGTAGAAACAACCTAAGAGTTTGCTGATGCATGACTGGATAAAGAAATTGTGTCATGCAGGTGTGTGTATGTGTATAATGGAATATTATTCAGCTACAAACAAAGAACGAAATCTTGCTATTTGTGACAACATGGATGGACCTTAATGGTAGTATTCAAGTGAAATAATTAGAGAAAGACAATTACTGTATGATCTTTCTTATATTTGGAATCTAAAAAAGAAAACACCACCCCCTTCAAAAAAACAAAAACCCAAAGCTCATAGATAACAGAGAACAGACTGGTGGTTGCCAAAGGCAGGAAAACAAACAAACAAAAAAAGAGATCCTGATAAACCAATATCCTTCTTTTTAGCAGTTAATGAGAATTATGTAATCCAGAATGTTTTACATTTTGCCTTAGCTGCTACCAGGAAGCTCAGAAGTAAGTATTCCTATCAATTCCGTCATTCTAATTTAGTTTCCTGTTATAAGTCACTCACCCTCATCCTTTACAAATCCTCCTGTTTTTTCATTATAAGTGATTTCAAATCCATTTTTAGAAACGGTAGGAGTATAGGAGATAAATATGTGCAACGAAACCATAATATTTTATTAAATAGTATTGTCTTATTTTCTAAAGAAACGTATATGTGGCAACTTTTTTATGTTAAGCACAGTGAGGGTTCTGATTGTGGCTGTTATTCACATGGAAGTATTATTGACAGGAACATGCTCTCATTCCTACTGGAATGCTCTGTGGGTTGTTCCTCTGTTAAACCCTCCTAGATTAACTCGCTCCTCTCCAGACACTCCTATCACTCTGAGCATCTCTAAGCACTCATATATATGTGTCTGGATAGCTGTAACTGTCATTAGTTATGTATTTCATAGAACAGAGAGATGTAGAGCTGGAAGGAATGTAATCACCCAAATCCCATTTAGCTAAAACGATAGATAGCATTTTGCAACCACTAAGAGATTATAACAGAAGTTAGTGTGCTGTTGGTTATTGCATGGGCTCTCTGGGACTCTCTTCCAAATGTGTAGACTGGGCCTAAGAGATTCTGGGTGGTGTTTGCATTGTTCTTTCTTGAATGGCAAACAGAAACTTAGCTTTGGGACTTTCTTCTTGAAAATAAATTTTCATCTAGTTATTTGTTTCTTGTTTCTATTTGGACATGACTATCTACTTCCCTAGAAGGGGTAGTCCTTGAGGGCAGGGGTAATGCCTCAGTTATCTCTCTGTCTTTAGCACCAGCTCTGGTCCTGGCTCAAAACAAACACGGAATAAAAGTTGAGTGCGTGAATGAATGAATGGCATACTGTCTCTTTGGTAGGACTGTACATTCATTGGAGGAAGGTCTGAACGCTGGCGTTTCTTTTCTGCCTTGTAAGATGCACTATCACTACAGTCAGATAACCGCTCAGGCCGAGGCAGGCCAGGAGGGAAGAGTCAAATCAGGCAGTGATGAAAGAATCAGAAAGGTGTGAAGGGTTTGCTGTCTGGTGACAGAAATAAGGGAGCTGCAGATGATGCCGAAGTTATAAGTAGTCTTTTGTCTCGGAGGGTAGTGGTGCTTTATGTGGAGACTGGGAAAGCCAAGAGGGAGAAAATTTGGGAGGAAACTAAAATCGTGTATGGGTGGCTGTACTGAGTTGTTGGGAGCCCACTTCCCAAGGGTGTGGTCTTTGTGTAATCCAAAATGGCTGCTTACACGTTGGCTACCAGAGTGGAGCCAGACATCACAGTAGAGGAAGGGCCAAAAGGGGGAAGAAAAAAGCCATGGGTGAAGGCCAGCTTGTAAAGAGGCTTCTGGAAGGCACACACTTATACTTTAATGTTATTGGCCCAGAACTTTTTCACATGGCTACCCTATCTACTAGGAAGTTAGGGAAAAGCAGTGTTTTAATTAAGCATGTGCCCTAAATAAAATTAGGTCTTTTACTATGGAAAAGATGAGACTGAATATTGAGTGGCTAACACAAAGCTAGACATAAACTTGGTCTCTGATTCCTAATCTGGGGCTCTAACTCTACTACACAATTGAAGATGTGAATTCTATATTGTGAAGGCAGAATGGGGAAGTGAGAAATGCCTGAGGTTAGTGTTCAATGTCCTGTCTCTGCCAGTTACTATTATCTTGGACATGGCATGTAGTTTCTCTGAATCCTTGCTTCTAAATCTGTAAGATGGTTTGTTGGATAAAATGATCTCTAAATTTCTATCAGCTAAAATACCTTATGATTAAAAAAATTTATGGTAGCTAATACTGAGTGAGCGATTGAACACATCAAAGGAGTCTATGTAGTTCTTCACGAATGGCCATGCTGGTTTGAGATCCGTAATGGAGCTCCATGATTAGGCTGGATTACAAACGGACCTCTTCTCCACAGAGATGATTTGACCAAGGAAAAGCTAAAGTGGTTGCCTACTCAACACCTGTTTTTTCACTTTTTATTTGAAAGTTGGTCAGAAATCCAATGGTCACTTGATTCCAAAGATGGCTGCCGTGAATTCCTTCCCTCCCTGTACATGCCTGTCACTTACCCACTGAAAAGTTGGAATCACTAGAATCTGGTCTGGACTGATTTAACCTATAGAAAATGGCTAGTTCCAGATTTAGTATTAAAAAAGGACTGGGGGCACCTGGTAGCTCAGTTGGTTGAGTGCCTGACTCTTGGCTTCGGCTCAGGATGTGATCTCAGGGTGGTGAAATGGAGCCCAACTTGGGCTCCGTGCTCAGCAGGGAGTCTGCTTGAGTCTGCTTGATTCTCTTTCTCCCTCTCCCCCTCTCCCCGCTGGTGCATGTGCACGTGTGTGCGCTCTTGCTCTCAAATAAATAAATAAATAAATAAAATCTTTAAAAACAAAAGGACTAGCAGTTTCTGCTTCCTGTCTTTTGTGGCTGCCACATAAGAAGTTTGGGATACTCTGCTAGACAGAGAGGCCTGAAGGACCAGATAAATGAGCAAGGAAGCCATCTTGGAGATCATCCAGCCAGTTGAGCCTTCCGAAGACCCCAGCCCCAGTCATTTTCTGACTCTTGCCACACGAGAGCCCCTAGAAATGCCCAGCTGAGTCCAGTCAATTCACAAAACTATGAGAGATAATAATAAATTGTTGTTTTAAGCCACCAAGTTTGTGGATGGTGTGTCATATAAAAACAGATAACCACAACAAATGTGCTCAGGAAATGGCCCCTTCTCAGTCCCAGGAGGCAAATCATGATTGGTTTAAGCCAATTTTGATTAATTCAGTTCCTCTGCTGAAGTATTTTAGGGGGATACATGTGACCAGTTCCAATCAGTCAGATGCTGGATGGCATTTACTTAGAGATAAAAAGAGACCTATGGGAGAAAAGTGTGTTTCTCAGTCTGACATTGTTGTGTCTATGTTTAACTTCGGGAACCATGGCAGCTATATTGTACCCATAAGGAGACAACTCTAAGAACCAAGCCAGTAAGCTGAGGATGACAGAGCAAAAAAGATGGAGGAGGCTGTGTCCTTGAAGTCAATCTTGAAAACTTCCAAATTCTAGACTTCTTGTTACATGATGTAATAAATCCTCTTTGTTTAAATCATTTTGAATTGGGTTTTCTATTACTTACTGCTGAAATCATCCTTACTGAGAGTGTAGGAAAAAAAAAATCTCTGTGCTACTCTCTTCCACTGATGGAGAAAGAAAAAATTAAAATCACAAAGGCTCTTTTCTTTCTTTTATGCTCTCCAGAGTAGATGGTCCTTCAGTCCTGGATATACTAAGGTAGCAGCTGAACTGTGGGTGAGACCTAAGCTGTTTTGCGTAATGAAATGAAAGGAATTGAGTTTTGAGAGAAGGGGGCCAGAGAACAGAGAATCAGGGAAGGAAGACGAGAGTCTTGAGCCCGGGTGTGTGTGTGTGTGTGTGTGTGTGTGTATGAATAGGGGAATGAGAAATAGGATGGGGAGCTGAATTTCAAGTTGAAAGGCAACCTTCAGTAAAGTCTGGTAGCTTGCGGCCTTGGTGAGCATTCCAGGTGTAGTTTCCTGTGGAGCCGAGGGGAGCAGAGGAGGTGCAGTGCCGGGGAAGTGGTGAGTTAGAGGAAGGGGAAGTCAGAGCCAGAGTGGCTGGGGGGAGTTTGAGCCTTCAGGATTTATAGTGAATGTTGGAGCTGCTGTGGGGGTGAGAAACGGATGTGTCAGTTGAAAAAAATCTTTAGTTCTGGAAGTGCGAAGTGACCTCTTCTGACATATTGATTTAGGACTAGCTTCTTAGACAACAATTATGTGCTCAAAACATGTTTTTGGAAGTTTTAGGTATTCAAATTCATTATGGAGTTTTTTCTGAGGTCCTTGCCGCTGTTTAACTCCTAGGCCATATCAAGACGTATTAAGATATGTCAGGATAGCCTGAAGTCATAGTAAACGGTCTGAGTGAATGGGAAGTCCCACAGCTCAGTGGAAAGAGGGCTGAGTTTTACCTGGAGGACTTCTCTCACTAACTTCTTGAGTCACCCTGACTGAGCGAGTTGCTCAATGATTCTGTGCCTCAGTTTACTTATCTGTAAAATAAATTACTAACGTCTATCAGTTTCTCTTTTTAAAATAAAAAAAATCATTTTAGGATGACCAAAGTATTACATTATTGTTGTTAGAAAAAAAAAAACACAAGCAATAGACTGGCAGACTTGATTCTCATATTGGCAGGTCCTGACAAGAAAATAGAGCTCCACATGTGATATGTGTGAATACCTGAAGATTTGAAATTCAGGTGACAGACTCCTGAGTAAAATATGTCTTACTGTAAGGACAAATATTAAAAATAAGGGGCTTAATTCTTCCTGTTAAAAATAAGGAGATTTCCCTTCTCTCCTTTTTCTTAGAGCATTTACATCAGAAAACTTGTGACTGAAGTTCTTTCTCTGTCTCTTTGAAATGTAGGCAAATCTTTTTATAAGCTAAATAAGTCTCATGGGAGTCTCTTTATGACCCAGGAATGTCTTGTCAAGGATGGGGAGTTGTCTTTTTGAAATGCTATCATCCAGGAAGCTAGCACCCCCATTGTTTCTGTGGGAGGGTAGGAACTTAACTTTGGTTCGGCACCTTGCTCCCCATTGCAAAGCTACTTTCTATCATGAAGACTGAAGTGTATTTTTCCATCATAGAAAACCAGTTAGCTAACGCAGATGGTTACCCCTGTTACCAGGTGAATTTGGATGAACTGTGTGGCCTAAATGGTGCTGTCAAGTCCTCCGACTTGGGGAATAGGCACTGTTTATCTTGAGAACGTATAGATGGTGGGTGGTGTCTTCCTGGCTATGCAAGTGGGTGAGATTTCTTTCTGTCCTTCAGTCTCTTAGCATATTACCTGTGATGCGAATCCCATTCTGGTTTAATACTTACTCAGCATATAACTCTTTTCTTTCTCTACTACCTTTGTGGAAAGGGTTCTGGGTTGGGAT